TGGCATCATGCACTGTGTAAAAACTAGTGTAAGGACAATGCCACGAGACTACGCCCAGTGGTGGAAATACGATGAGAGTCTAACACAGAGAGAGCTCAGGGCAAGGCAGCATTAGAGCAATGGCTGTCACTATTACAGCATATGCCGCTGATACGACGGTGTTACTTCCAATAATTTGTAAAAAGGTATGGATTATATTATATCTATTGAAATTACAACATGGGTTTCCCAAAGTCTCTAATTACTGTTTGAAACCCAAACTCACTACTTTTTTCTCTTTTTCAATGTTCTTACCGAGCCGTTTGGCGTACAACACCTTAGCTTGTGGGCTTGTACAACCAGTCAAAAGTATGAATTAATACCCAACAGTTTTATCACCTATTAAAGTACTTTTAATGGCATTGAACTATCCAAAAAAGCGACAGGCTTGGATTGTTGTTCGAAATATAGTTGTTATCCTGGTTTCGAAATAAGTTTGCATTACAGAATAAAACACGCATTCCGACGACTACGCTAACTCAATGCATTCGACGCATGTAATTTTAGCTTGAGCTAAGTCAGACAAACATATTCTATTACGAAGCTATAGTATAACTTGGAATACTACCTATAATTGCGGACTACACCGAAGTGTAAGAAAGTCTTTACTTAAATATCAAAGCAAACATACCTTTCTGTAATCGCGTACGAATAGGATCTGGTGTTGTGCTGTGTAGTTTTCACCTATTTAACGGAGATTAACTTGAGTCAAAAGAGATTCCTCGTTAAGCACTACGCCGCAGCAGTATGCATGAGTTAGGATCAACAGATTGACATTTATAACATTCTGTAAGGGGTTTAATTCTACTGACATCGCTAAAGCCAGATCCCTTGGTCTAGCTAAGATTAACGTTAGACCTATCAAATAGCTCTTACAGTCTCAGATATCTTCTCATTCAGGGTGCACTAGGAAATTTCTCAAGTCGTAAACCCCCAAGATCCAACATTGTCCACTGAAGGCACAGGGGATCGCCCAGTGTCATTGGACCAGACGCTTGTTTCGGAGTTGTCGTTCTTGAGTTCCTGGGCGCTGTATGCTAATGTTCAAGTGACACTCGGCGCGGAATAGCGCCTTGGGCTGGATTCGAATTTCGGGTATTCCCGGAGATGTGGCTTGCAGTGCTTTTTTGTGCTGTATAGAGCCGGCCAAGGCACGGACAGCGTTTGTGTGAGCACGTCACGCCGAAACGCACCGCGGTGTCAGTTCAAGGCTGTCGCTGTAATTCATGCTGTGGAGCTGTCTGCTTTCGGTACGTGGTTGCTGCCCACGTTTACTTTCTCTTTCACTCCTGCCGGATTCTATCGACCCCTTGACTGACTGTTTGATTGCACAGCTGAATAATTATGCAAAGGTTGAATGGGGAGCGAGTTCGCCCCCAGATTGGAGGCGTCGGTCTGAATTCTCCCCATCCGCCTGCTGGAAGAAAACAAATAATAACCCCCACCCCCTACCTGCAAAC